AAATTTCAGTGGTATACATAATTTTATATTAATCTTACCATTTGCATCTCATAATGATAGTTACATTGAAGTTTCTTGATTAATACATCTAATGGTTTTAAAACCAAGTATTATTTAAACTATTGTTATAAATCTTGGCTTTCTCACAAAACCCTTCCTTGAAAAACGAAAATAGTAAATTTAGAATGTGTTGCACAGTTCTACAAAGCTCCAAATTAAGAAAAGTATGCTGAATGAAATGCATTAGGGTCCTATTTGCAGAGGTGTTATATGGCTATATGCTTTAGAAATCTATTACATTACTAAAAACTAACTAAGGCATTTCAATTGGAACTTTGCTATCCTAAAAGTTAGGTATCCATTCTAAGCCGGTAGTATAATCTACTTATATTTAAGGAGAGAGACATCTCAGTAAGTAATTCAGCTCACTATAAGATAATTGTGCTGGAGGATAGATCCTTGCTTCTCTGAGAGAACTTTCTTTTTTTATTGTATTTCACTAGATGTATTTTCATTAACCTTCTTTTGAAGTTAGGTCAGTCCTTTCTAGGTTGAAATACGGAGAATCGAATCCTAATTCTGCCTGCATTTGATTTGGTTTCCTATCTTCTAGGTAAGACACCTAGCAACTAAGTTGTAATATGGCATTCAGAAATGAAGATCTCTGTGACCCAGAGTGAAACTTAAACGCTTGTCTACTACAGCAGAACCTGAAACTGACCAAACCACTGTGGCTGTGAAGGCAAACATCCTCCTTCTATGATGCATTCCAGAACAAAGCAGCTTCAAGGGCAAGGAGAAGGTATAAATCTCTGCTTTGGATCTTCAAATCAAACACATTTTTACTATAGCCTGTGGCATTGTAAGTAAATGCTTTTAGATACTTGTCAAATTGCTATCCTTTCTCTCTGCCTATGCTGACTCAGGAAGCTCAGGCAAAATTTCTGATGGGGTCCAAATATGCAGGCAACAAAGGCAGAGACCATTTTGATTTCAAAATCCAATCAGAGGTGCCCCTATTAGAGGAGCCCCATCATACCAGGGCAAAGCCAGCTCCAGCTGCTCCAATGGGACCTGCTGCTGCCACAGCTGAGACATAAATGATGTTTAGTGTGCTCTGGGAGAGCAGATTTAAGAAAAAACCACTACGTGGCAACAGATGAGAGAGAAGAGTGAGAAATGTGAGAGAACAGGCCTGTAGGCACCAAAGTCAGTGCAGGAAGAGCTCCAGGCACACAGCAGCAACTCCCTGCAGCCCAGGAGAGACCCACAGAGGAAAGAGCCTTCCCCCCACAGCCCACAGGCAGAGTGTGGAGAGAGTGGGTGGGGATGGCAGCTGCTTGTAGTATGCTTTTAGCTCTCACTGCTCTACTCTATTATTGGTTCAGTAATTTCCTTATACTGAGACTCTTTTGCCTGTGATGGTAACTGGTCAGTGATCTCCATGCCTCTTTCCGGAAATGCCTATGGATCAAAGGTTTTATGGCAGTCAGTCAATGTGCTGGGAGAAGTTCCTAAAGTTTCTGGGTACAATTCATAGGTTAACATTCATGTGGTTTTTGGTTTTTTTTTTTATTTTTATTTTTTAATATTCTCCTGTTTTTCTAAAAAACACTGCAGTTTCTGGTGCTTCAAAGAGTTCTTTTATTTTCTGTAACAACAGGTTTACTAAAAGCATAATGTAGAATAAATAAAGAATAAGGAGAATGTAAATGATAATTTTTTAGTGCATTCAGTTTGAAAACTGAATCCAACTAAACCCACGTATTTTCAATTCTTTTGTCTTAATAAAGTTGCTGTGGGTGTTTTCTGCTATTTATACCATGGAAACATGAAGAAACATCATGATTATTTTCAGATTTATGTTTAGATTCCTTCACTCTATAATTGCATGAGAAAACTGCTTGAATTTATTCAATATTAAAATCAGCAAATAGTTTTTAAAGCAGAGAAGGTAATTAACTTCCTTTTTTAATGATGCTTCTAATTTAGACTATGCATGAGATGCCTCAAGAGTGAGAGAGATTTTGCAGGAAAAGACTGTTCTGTGGCTAAAGTACCAAACTCAGAATCAGCAGAATTTAATTCAGTTTACACATCTTCAGCAAATGTCCTGTGTGATCTTAACCAAAGTATTTAATTGTTCTTCTCCACAATTTGTTTGTAACACTGAAATAATGGCAGTGAACTTGCTAAGAGTTTGTGAGGTTTAAGTGCTTTATATTTATGTCTTCAGATAGACTGCAGATAAAATTATGTATGGGGAATGAGTAGAGTTGTTTTCCTATTACCAAAATCTAAAAATGTAAACTGGCTTTTTTAATTGTACAAAAATATTCACTTCTCACGTATAGTCTTGCATCTAAAAAAAGAAGCAAATGCAAAGTCCATTTGTTGGCTCTTAAATCTAATTAATGCTCAAATTGCTTCCAGAAAAAAAGAACAATCATAATGTAAGAGTCCACTTTTGTTGTTCCCACCTGCTAGTTCCACAGAAAAATGAGTTAAAGGGTATCTTCCAGATAATATATATAGATACCACAATCTAATGGTTTAAAAACAACCAAGAAAACAAACAGAAACTGGGAAAAAAAAACACCAAAAAAACTATACACAGTATATGGAATGCAGGCTTGGAATGCAAGTCCTGGGGACTGAAAAAAAAATAATAAAATACTTTCTTCTTCTGGCCAGAGTAGGCACGTATACTTACAGGCACAGACAAGAATTGTTTCGAAGCTGATGGGCTTCTGAAATACAGATCTGTACCATGGAGCTGCTGAATTTGAGTACTGCAGATTGATAGTAAGTTATACAAATCTCTCAGGGAACAGTTAAAAGAAAAAGCTGCATGCCCTTCAGAGAAATTGCACAGTAATATTCATGATGCATAAGCAATGCCATTTTGAATCAACAAGTAATTACCATCCAATTTCTTTTTTTTTGGGGGGGGAGGTTGGTAGTTTCTTTGAAATTGGTAGATCAAGTTTTTTCTAATCTTATAATTCAGAATCAGGCTCTGTGGAGGATTAAGCTGCCCTCAAACCATTCATTTTTATTCTATGTGAACAAAACAGTGAAATTGTGTGTGAATTTTTTTGGCTGCCTAACATGTGATTCTGTCTTTCAGCAGCAGTCACACAAGAAACAATGTGCTTCAGAGGTCCTCCTGGTTTCACTTTTTTTACATTGTAGAATAAGTAGGGCATCTGTTCATCAAGTCTATGAAATACAAGCTTCTCCAGGCAAATAGGGGTGTTTATTCTTGTTTATGGCAAGGTAGGATATTCTGAAATATTATTTCCAGGTCTAAGGGCAATATAGATAAGAGAATTATCAGGAAAGATTCGAGCCAAAGTTGTAAAATCTTTCCTCTATGTTGCATTTATGTAAATTGAGGAATTTAGAATGAGCTGTGCCACGGTTCACAGATATTGAGTAAGTAAGGTCATTCTGACAGTATATTTTATTAGGATTTTGTTGGGCATCAAGCAGCAAGAATCTTCACAGACTGCTTCTTTCACGTGGAGTCTGCTTTCCATGCAGCAACACTGCAAGATCACAGGCAATTCATGCCTTCTACTCCAATGTAAAAAGAAACGGTGGCTTGTGTCCCGTAACTCACGCAACTACTCTTTCTTTCACCAGAAATTTCTTGTTTGTTTGTTTGTTTTTAATGGATCAAGTGCATTTGTAAACATTTCATATTATGTTAAAGGCTTGTTGTAGCCTTCTTTTAGTGTCATCATCCTCAGATGGAAGGGTAGCATAGTTAAAATCATAGCACTTCTCCGTCATCTATTCTAAATCTGTTGTGTGATTTTGCTAAGAAAGAACGACATTGGCTTTCTCTTTTTTTTTTTTTTTTTTTTTTTTTTTTCCCTCTCCCCCCTAAGTGCTACAGTTAAAAAGTTAAAACAACTTTTCCTTGCACATAGGCTGAGCTGTGAGCAAACCTGGGGTTTGCTATGTGCCCACCTATGATAAGGGGTGGACACTGGTGTGCAGAACTTGTCTTAGGATACAGTCACAGGGGTAGCAGTCATCAACCCAATGCCTCTATTTCTTTTTCTTTCTAAGAATGATACACAGCACCTTCTTCTAGCTTGTGCTGATAAATCAAACAGGTAGGAAGTTCAACTTGGTAACTGCATCAGATATTTAAAGAGGATAAAGACCTTTGTCCAGTTCAAAGTAATAATCCACACAGTATAGCCACTAATGTCAAGGAAGTGTTTGAATTAATAAAAACATTGAACCTTACATAATCAACAAGACTATGTCAGAAATTTTTAAAGTGCACAACCAAGTTTTCTGATAAGGCTGTTAGTCCTGTTTAATCACTTTAAAAAACCTTACTGTGATCTGACAGGATATAAGAAGGGCAGAGAAATAAGTCCAATAATCAAAAACTTTTAGGCAAATTCTTAAGAACAAGAACCCAGAAATGGTGATTCCTCAATGAGATTCATTAATTCTAGGGCTAGGGTCTTTTTGGCTAGTAAAGGGGAAAAAAAGAAAAAGAAAAAATCGCATGTTCATGCTTTAGCATGAATAAAACTCTAATAATACTACATTAAAAAAAAATCGTTAGCCAGGAGAAAAATCTAGTTCTATCATGCAAAATATCTAATAGCAAATGAAAGTAGGAGATTAAGACAGTTCCCTGTTGTCACAGAGCAGAAATACACTTGCAAGTGTAAAGCAGCAGTATGTTATTGATATAACACAGTGATTAAACAACATAAAATCATAAAAAGACTGTAGTTTAACAAGATTCAGTGGAAGAGTACGTGTGGGTATTTACTGCAGAGGACAATGTCAGACAAAACTGTCGTGGAGATCCTTCCATCGAATCAGCAGGTTTGCTTTCTAAACTCCTCAGAGGAACATCGGTGCACTGGGGTCCAAGCTCCAGACTTGATCAACAGTATATGCCTAAAGGATGATGTACAAATTCAATAAAAAATGCAAAGTTTGCAAAGCTATTAGTGACTTACTGAGAATCCGTTGTGGATAAGGGATCTCTCAGCCTTGAGAAGTAATCTTGAGTGGCGTCCCTACTCAAGGGAAGATCCTTGCATGCAGCCCACTGCCATGCAGAAGAGTTCAACTAGTTCTCGGCTCTGCTATTTATGGTGTAAGATATTGACTCGTATTGCATACCAGCTGTGTTTGGTTCGCGCATGCTCTGTTAACCATTGGTTATTGTGTAACCAAATGCAGCCATCGCTACTGCCACTGCCTACTGCTTGAACAAGGATTCTGCGAAATGGACATGTCAAGGAAGTACAATGTAACACCTGTGTGTGTTTAACCTGCTCTGTGGACTTTGCATAGATAAATCATCATGGTAATTAAGTATGAAACATGATTAAATCAGACATGTTCTACACCCCATCAACAGTCTAGGCTGAACTGTGTAATTTGAACGGGTAAAAGCAGAGTGTAGGGTGGTGGATATGCACATCTTGTCTGTACGTGTCTACATTCTTTTAGAATTGTCATCTAAAGGACAGTGTCACTAATTAGTATTTTAAAGGCCATGAGAAATTCATTGTCAGTCAACTGCCAACGTGAACTCAGGACTTAACTTCTGTCAAGGAAATAAGACATTTCAAACATGGAAAAAAAAAAAAAAAAGAAAAAACCAAAAAAAAAAACCAAAAAAACCCCCAAACCCAACCACCTACCAAATAAACAAAAAAAAAATATCCAGAAGCACAGTTTTAAGAAATCTTACCGCAAAGAAAACGTGATTAAAATACTTAAGAAGGCAGGACAAAATATGATGGTTTACTTTTTTGGTTAAAATCAAAAATTTATCTTTGCAATTTAGAGTGATGTTGGTAATATGAAAAAATATACACAAAATTTGTAGTAATGAAGAAAAACAGTGATTTTTGGAACAGAATCATAATCTTTTCTATCAAGCTCGAGAACAATTGTATACTTTTTGTGAACGTTCTTAAATTGAGAAAAACAGGGTATACTGAAGAAAAAAAAAGTACAATTTCATATTATAGCCATATTATTGAATGACAGCTATGGGCATCACAGCCACTGACCCTGGCAAGTGAAACTGCCAAATCTGAACAGTGTAATAAATAACTAAAAATCCAAAGGCACTGAGTAAACTAGGAATATAAAAAAAGACAGTATTTTTGACACAAGTAAAAAAATTAGGAATGCCCTTAGGAGGACAAGACTCAGATACTTCAGATTTTTACGTTTATATTTTTAACGTGTGTTGATTACATTTAAAGCCTTGGATACACATTTGCAATCTATCAGATTAATGTAACTAAATAAGTGTCAGATGTGATTTGAAGCAACAGAAGGAGGCAATGCAGTTAGAATATCAAAAAGGTACAACATGTTTAGCTCTTTTCTGCCTTCTGTTCTATCCAACTTCACTACATGTTTGCCACACCTCTCTGCTCTGGGCTTGAGGGAACAACCAAGTACACAAAACAGAAGATATCTTACACGCTTATAGCCTTTCTCTCATTTCCTAGAAATTATGGATCCTTTAGATATTTCAGTTGTTGCATAGATTTTTCCATACTTAAGCAGTTCCTGTTTTGTAAAGTTTTAAAATGTTAGAAAAAATTGATTTTTATATGCTTCATACATGCTAAGCGACTGACCATCACTGGCTTTATCAGGAAATGCCTCAGTGTTGCTCCTGGTTAGCCCCCGGTTTTCTCTGGATTATGCCTAATTCCCCAGCAACATCGAGGTCAAAGTCAACGTGTTCTGAATATTTCCAGCTCTCAGCTGTGTAAGGCAAGCATTTCAAGTGACCTTTGTTGCTTGCATTAAAATTGTTTGGTCTGCTGAAGATGTAGTTATTCCTGCCCAAAACACACAGGAGGCTTTGGAGCATAACTCCTACTGGTAGCGATGATGCCGCATAGCGTTACCTTCTAGCAGTCAAAGAACCTGTAGCTTAGAGGATTTGTTAAATACATTCATATGAGGATAAAGTAGTACAGCTACTTGCTGCTACAGTGAAATTTCACAGTTAGGGGCTCCCACGAATACCCTGGGCAATTTCTGACATAAAATATTGAAAATAGATAGCAGCACAAAACCTGTCAACTCTCTGTTCTTACCGAGGTCATGCATTTCCACCCACTCTCCTCCAACAGACTTTTTCCCACACTGCCTCTGTTTACCTCATCAGGGAAATCAAAAGAGAGTATGTACTTTTGCTCCACCTCATATCACGTCAGCATTCATTCACCCACATTCTCTCAAGCTCACAGTCTGATCTCATCTAGGAATCATTAACTTAGCTTAAACAGCATTTTATAACGATATCACTAATATAATGCATGTAGTACGCAGCCAGGTTAGGCTGCTCAACATATGTGTTTGCCCAGGGTTTTGGTTTTTTTTTTCCTGAAAAAGTGAGCTTGTAGACTGGCCTAGCTAGCAATCTAGATGCTCTCAGAGATCATAAATGAAATAATTAAAGGTAAGTTCCTTCATCTGTATCCATGAAACTGTGTTCTCAGACTGGATTTTTATCAAGATGGTGTGCTGGGTCCTGCACTTTGGCCACAATGACCCCAGGCAATGATACAGATTTTGGGGGAGGGGCAGGAGTCTGTGTAGAGGAAATGGACCTGGGGATATTGACTGGTGCTTGGCTGAACATGAGCAACAGCGTGACCAGGTTTCCAGGAGGACCAAAAGCATCCTGGCTTGTATCAGAAATTGTATTGCCAGCAGGAGCAGAGAAGTGATCGTCCCTCTGTACTCAACACTGGTGAGGCTGCACCTCAAGTATTGTGTTCCTGACTACAAGTATTGCACCCCTGACTACAAGAAAGGCACTAAGGCCCTGGAACCTCAGTGAAGAGAGAAGGGCAATGAAACTGGTGAGGGGTATAGAGCACAAGTTTTGTGAGGAGCAGATGAGTAAGCTGGGATAATTTAGTTTGGAGAAGAGGAGGTTCAGAGGTGATCTTACTGTTCTCTACAACTCTCTGAAGGGAGACTGTGGCAAGATGGGGGTTGGCCTGTTCTCTCACATAACTAGCAATAGGACTAGAGGGAATGGCCTCAAGTTGCACCAAAGGAGATTCAGGTTGGATATTAGGAAATAATTCTGCCATAGATTGGTTGGGCTCTGGAACAGGCTGCCCAGGGAGATGGTTGAATCATGAAATCCTTGGAGGTGTTCAAGAAACATTTAGATGTACTGAGAGACACAGTTTAGTGGGAAATATTTGGGATAGATGGATGGTTAGACTGGATGATCTTAGATTTCTTTTTAAATCTTGGTGATTCTATGATTCTATGTCCTTATGTCTATGTAGTTTTAGAGACCTAAGTTTAACTTTATTCAGAAAATAATAGCTATTATGTAGGGAAAAAACAATGTTAAAGGGCATTGCATTATCTGAGATACACTAAAATATATGTAAATGGTGTCTATAATATAAGACATATGTAGAGTAAGAGTACAAATGGAACTTGTGAGTTCCTAATGAGTCCTAGTGATGATCATCATCATAACCTATACTACCAGAAAAATTGTCATGCAAATGTCATGCACAGAAAACTTAGGCCATACAGAAAATTTAGATGATTTTGCATATCCAGAATATGAATTCTTCTACTAAATTTGCCTTACTTTTACATGTTAAGAGCGTTAATATGTTCCCTTCAAGTACTGGAAAGTCACAATAAAGTCTCCCTGGAGCCTTGTCTTCTCCAAGCTGAACAATCCCAGTTGCCTCAACCTTTGCTCGTAGGACAGGTGCTCCAGCCCCCTGATCACCTTAATGCCCCTCCTCTGAACCCACTCTAAGAGCTCCATGTCCTTCCTGTACTGGAGGCCCCAGGCCTGGATGCAGTGCTCCACATGGGGCCTCACAAGAGCCGAGCAGAGGGGGACAATCACCTCCCTCTCCCTGCTGGCCACCCCTTTTTAATGCAGCCCAGAACACAGTTGGCCTCCCGAGCTGCGGGCGCACACTGCTGGCTCATGTCCAGCTTCCCATCTACCGGATCCCCAAGTCCTTCTCCGCAGGGCTGCTCTCAAGGAGATGTGCCCCCAGTTTGTATAAATACCTGGGATTGCCCCGACCCAAGTGCAGCACCCTGTACTTGGCCTTATTGAACCTCATTTGAGGACATGTTTGAAAATGATATGCTGTGTCAAAATTGTAATGGTTGATCCCGATTTGGCAGGAAACAGTGCAAGAAAGTAGAGCTTCAAAATAGAGGCAGACATCTCATAATAGCTGACTTGATTATTTTGGCAGCTGTGTTTTTCATAAGTTGAAGAGTGGCTAAAAACCCAGCAGAATAGATAATGAAACACAGATGACAGCTTTAACACCAGTGGCAGGAAAACAGAGTGTAAACCACTTACTAGGAAAAATAGGCAAGAGATGACCTTATCATGGCAACAGAAGCAAAGTAGAAGAAAGAAATGAAAACTATTTTTTGTTAAGAGGTCACACTCTTTTTCTGTTTGAGTCGTCTGTGCACTCTGCAAGTACTGTCTAATGGCAATTCAGTCTGAAGGTGGGAAGGGGTGGCCATCTGGGTAAGGGAAACACAGAGCATCCCTGTGTACACATGTATTAAATCATTCACTGCTTCTCATCAGTTTATTCCTTTTCCTGTGTAGACTGAAATTTTTCTATTTAACAAACATTTCCCAGCATGGTCCAAGTTTCCCATACTGATATCTCTTCGCTCAGTGTTTGCTGAATCCCCTAAATAATCCAAATACTTTAAATCTAAATGCATTATTTATTAGCTTAGTTTGGGTTTTGTTTTGTTTTTCTACAACTAACTTTTCATATTGCCTTCGAGATATAAAAACTTGTAGAGGATATTTTACTGGCTGCCACTGCATTATCTTCTTTTTTCTCTCCTGCAGATTGGGCACCACAATAAAAGTGTTCTAACCTTGCACCTCTGAATGAAGGGATTTTCTCTACAGGGTATGTCCCCTTTGAGCTCAAGTTAGAAGGGAGCTTTATAAAATATATTTATGCTCAATAAGCAGAAGTTAAAAGGCACATTTTGCCAATCCCAGGCATGCTGCTAGTATGAATTATTTCTCAATAATTGCATTGCTCCTCAGTTAA